AAAAAAAACGTCCTAACGGGATTAATTTTTAAGCCCATCGAAAAGTATCTGTACTTTTGAGAAGATTCAAGTCCTGAAATGTGTCATATCGGGTTAAGCTTAACAAACTAATTACTATAAAGGAAGTTGTGATTGAGATGTGGTGAAGGTTGAGAACTTGCATGTGCACGGAAAAAAGAACCAACGCGCTACCTTCCAATGTAATGGAGTTTTGAGGGACATTCAATAATTAGAATTTCACAATCTTGTTCCTTGTCGCACAACCACTAATTCGAGGGAAACTATGACTCTCGGAAAAGGCAGGTGCAAATTTCTTTGAAATTTTATCATCTGACTAGGGCTGGAAAACGGGACCTTCTCCCTCGCCTCGAAGTTCTGCGTCTGTATACACCAAATTTTGGGTTTCTGAAGTTACGTGGAATATAGCACAAAGGGTAATGCCATTCGATTCGGCGTGTAAGAAACCTACAATAGAGAATCTCCAAGCAGTTCTGTCAACTTCCAGAAATCTAGGGTCAAAAAAATGAAAAAATGGCCGTTGCAAAACTATACGACATAGCAGAAATTTTGACAATTTTTTTCACTTTGGTAAATTTTTCCCTCGCACTCCACAGTCATAGCTAAGCGAGATGTGCTCTAATACCACCGGTTACGGTATGCAATACATAATCGTCATCATCAGCATACTTCTCAGCAGTACAGCGCTGTTATTCATGTCGGTGAGCCAACTTCGCCTTGCTTTGAAGCCTACCATATAGATTTACTCGGATGGTCCACTTGTTAGCGAGGTCTAAATCCAATGAAAACCCTATGGGGCGTCGTTGCTCGTAGTCTTTGTTCCTAGAATAATCGGTACAATTCCTTGCATCTCCTACAAAAGATGCTAGTCGAAGATTACGATCACGGATCCAGGTGGAGGCATACAAAAATTGGTAGAAAACATGTCAGATCGGCTCCTCAAGGTGCTATGCAGGGTTCGGCGAATCCGTGGCCTGCATATCTACAATACAGTACTAATATGACTGTGGAGTGCTAGGGAAAAATTTTACTAAAGTGAAAAAAATTGTCAAAATTTCTGCTATGTCGTATAGTTTTGCAACGGCCATTTTTTCATTTTTTTGACCCTAGATTTCTGGAAGTTGACAGAACTGCTTGGAGATTCTCTGTTGCAGGTTTCTTTACACGCCGAATCGAATGGCATTATATATATTATCGGGTGGAGCGGGACCAAAGTGGGCGGAGTTTGCGACGAAAATTCATAACTCGGCTCCAAGAAGTCCCGGAGGCCGGGAAAAAGGTGGATGGAGGTGGGTGGAGGAGTGGAGGCCAGCTGTCATCGGTGGGCGGGGCTTGACCAAAGTGGGCGGAGTTTGCGACGAAAATTCATAACTCGGCTCCAAGAAGTCCCGGAGGCCGGGAAAAAGGGGTAGAGGTCGGCGAAAGGAAGGGGCCAAATGCTATTGGTGGGCGCGCACCGAAGTAGGCGGAGTTTGCCACGAGATTTATTGTCCGGAAGCAGTCCGGAGACCGGGAAAAGAGGATAATGGTTGACGAAGAAAAAGAGGTTGAAAGCCGTCGATGATGGAGCGGATAGAATTTAGCTGAGAATTCAGATATTCGTGGTGTATCAAGCCAAATTTGAAAATTTTCGTCGCACCATCAAAATTCGCCGCAGATCTGTGTTGTGCGCGCAATGCGTGCGGCGCCGGTAATCTAAAAAACAGCTTGGAGAGGGAGGGCCGTCAGAGTGTTTCTTTGACCAGCTTATTTGAAGCGTTTGAAGGCAAGCTTCGGGATAAATGGGTGTGTAAGAGCCTTCAGTAATGAACCTGGAGGTGGAAAGTGGGCCGGAAAAGAAAAAAAGGCATGAGAAACCCCGAGAACGCTTCGGATGAGGACCTCCTCTATTTCAGCCGCATTCCACCTTGGGATAGAGAAGGGCGTGTTGGACGAGTTTCACGAGCTTAGCTCCAGTTGCTCCAGTGCCAATGACATTGAACCGCAGCAACTACTGCCGCAACTGCGCCCGCGCTTTTCAAGCAGCGCCACGTGGCAACCGACAGCAAAGGTGGGGCTTGCGGACGAAGGAGTGGATTGCGGGTGCGAGCTTCCAGCGCCTTTGTCGCGCACTTTCAAGCCGCAAAAGAGGGCGCGACATAAACCCTCATAGGCCTGCCTACTACGCTCGGGTTCAGAGTAGGTGGGCATGTATAATCCGGGAGCGTGTCTTCAAAGCGCCGCTATGTGACCAGCGCCCGCAAATTCGTAAACATAGTATAGTTCATATAGAATTAAAGGCACAACGGAACATTCTTTCACAAAACGCTTTACTTTAGGAGCAATGCAAGAAAGGGGAGCAATTCCAGAAAGGAGGCTTGAAAGGCCTAATCGACGAAAAACTGGGATACCGGTTTGGGGAGGACGTATGAGGGGTGTAAATAACATGAAAAGGAGCCGCTGCGGGGGAAAATGTGCAAGGGCCACCTAAAACGACGAGAAGTTTGAAACTCAAAAAAAGGGAGCTGCTCTAGAAGGCTAGGCAGTAAAAAAAATTTCTAAAGCTCACTGTTGTAACCTGCTTCTATGATAGTTTGAAGGCACGAGTCATGGTAGAATTGATGTGCCATTTTGTTCGAAAATTAGGCAAGGGGTGCAATGAGGAACATTAGTGAGGAGAAAAAGCAAAAAGCACCATAGAAAACACTAAATTAGGCCGGCCGTAGTACGACGGAGAGACACAGCGCTGCGAGGAGAGGGAGAACGCGAGATAGTACGTCGTACGTGAGAGGGCGCAGAAGCCACTAGCCGTGATTGATAAGAATGGGAGCACGGCAGCAAGGCCTTAGCGCCGATACCTCGCACTTTGAGTCGCGACGTTGTCATGCCTCCTGCCATTAGGGAAACCTCCTTTTCGCTCTAAAGGGCACTCTAAAAGGGCTGGTTTTTCGTACCTAACCCCGACTCGTGGCTTCAGATACATGTCAATAACCTCTCCTGAAGTGTTTCTTTTCAAAAGAGGTTCTACAAGGTAGTATGGTGGGAGGGGTAGCCAGAGTTCCTGAAGAGTTACAAGAGTTTTGCTAGAGAGGTGAAGTGCTCATCGGAAACATGCGGATCTTCTTGATTCGAATTGCTCCTTTTTCGTTTGATTTCACAGAAAATGCATTAGTCACGGTGCCGCACCGCACTAGGATTCCGCTCGCGCAATGTGGTAACCAATCTTCCCTTTGGGCTCGAAGATTTGCCGTGTCATCCTTACGGTTACATTATCGTCTTGCAGCTGCAATCCATATACCTCACCCACAAACTGCGAACTATGCCTTCAATCACTCCTGAACTTCTAAATAATGACTAGTCATAAGAACGGCTTTTGTTGTTATTCGGTCCCTATTAAAAAAGGATGTATAACGTGAAGACATTAGTTTACTGAAACCTAGCATAGGTGGCGTGTTACTCTCTAGTGGAATAGCGGTAGTAAATCCCTCACATCTATCGGCGTGTTATGTTGCTTCTCTGCACTGGTACCCTCACCCCGTAGTCCTTGATCGATGAATTTCCTCAATTCTTCGTGTTCATCGCGAAGCATTGTCTCCTTCTCGAACTGCTCCCTGAACAAATGACTTCTTCAAATACTTCTAGTTCTCCACTTTGATTTCAACTCAGTCCAGAGAATTGGAAATTGTACGACTGTGACTTTTAAAGCAATCGGGATGCGTAAAGTTGTAGTAAGAACTGTTATTTGCTGAAGAAAGTTCATGAGAATTTCAAGAAACCCAGTAGTGAAGGACGTATTGAAATACGTTTCCTACTACAGACTTGCTTCAAGTATTCATGAGCGGTGTCAGCTGTCATTAACCCTTTGACGACCGCCGTTATGAATGCGTCACTTCACTTCTTTCTAAATTTTTTCATCAATAATCATTAACTCTCCAACAATTTCACTATTAGTAATTAGCGCATTATTCCGCGAATTCGATAATGTATTTGTGTAGTTTTGAAACATAAAAAATGCCAAAATAAACCCCTAAAAACGTGTCGCCACCGAGCGAAAGTGTGGCCCACCGGCGGGCCACACGGTCGTCAAAGGGTTAACCTACCAGTCGCCTCTGAAGCAACACCCAAACCAGAAGTCGTGTCGAACAATCTGGTCAACCGATGGATAGAATTGCACACGGGCAATCCAGACGTGCCGTTGTCGTAGCTCGAAAGTGTGCGACAATGGCGCTGGGATCTTACAAAGTTAGCATTCGGTGACTAATCCTTAGCATTTGGACGAGTTACGCGGCGCACATCTGACACGTAATATGGATTACGACGTAGCAGCTGATTCAAATATGCCGGGTTAGTTGAGACGTGGAGCAGGCAAGTTAGTACAACTTGTAGGCCCGCCCTTGGGGCTGAGATTACGATGCTTGCTTAAAGCGAGAGATTACGATAAAGTGTGTATGCAGCGTGGAAGTACATGCACCATTGGAAGCAGTAGTCAGGGGCCCAAGGAAACGAAATGTTGCGTTTTTGTGGTCAAAGGTGCGCTAGTTGCAGCGTACAAGGCTTGCCATTCCTTTCTGAGCTCCGCCCCCAGCAGCAGCGCCCTTCGATTGCCAATGTGACGAGATATTCCACTTCCAGAGTGTATCCTATAACTTTTCATGGGATGCGTGATCAATCAAAGCATGATGCTTGCTGAAATGATAGAGGCTATCAGCATAACATGTGCAAACGACCTCATAATTGGTTGCTAGCGTCGCTCTGCCTAGAGCGATTGCATCGCGCGATGCAATCGCTTTGCCAAAAGTGCAAGCGGCGGGCCGGCCCGCCGCGATCGATACCGATGTCGACTGCATCGATGTGGGCGGGGCCAATCGCCCGTCGCTTGTGCACATTGCAAGAGCGACTGCATCGCGCGATGCAATCGCTCTGCCAAAAGTGCAAGCGGCGGGCGCGATCGATACCGATGTCGACTGCATCGATGTGGGCGGGGCCAATCGCCCGTCGCTTGTGCACATTGCAAGAGCGACTGCATCGCGCGATGCAATCGCAGAGTCTGACCGAAATCTCAATCGTGCTCTTCCCACATTACTACGATAACCACTGCACCACCGAAAGTGCTATTGAAGGGATCTACCACAACCCTGAGCCTCAATCACCCTCAACAGCTTGGAGCATCGCGCGAAGAGATGCCTGAGGCGCCCGCGAGAAGAAGGAGCATTCTGCCACTGAATTAGCGAACGGTTTATTGAAAGGGTCACTATCACCCTAAACCTTATTCATGTCAACACTCCAGATTTTACGACTACATCGCTCACTGCAAACGGATGCGCCATCCATGTGGCACAGCTGTGTGTGTGTGTGCGGTTGGTATCCTGCATGTCGGCACAGCCAAAAGCTTGCATTCAAGTGACTGGGAAGTACATGGGAGGCGATTCGGGGCCGCCTCCAAAAAAAGCCCCTTGTTCCGCTCCAGGATAGCGTGGCTAACTACCTGGAGGTCTATCCTAGCCCACACGACAGAGCCTGGCAAGCTACTCGTGTGCCTTCAATATGCCGAAAACAGCAATATGGATGGGCCTCATTCCCCTGAACCTGAGGGAGCCCCCAATACGGCAGCGTTGGGTAGGACCGCTCGGGAGAGGCTGCTAGAATCTCAGGGCCCGGATAGGCTGCCTACTTTTCGATGCGTGTTGAGAGAGCTTCGAAGTTCAGGAAGCGAAGCCGCAGTACAGTCATCAACTGGGATCAACTCACTTCACTTCTCTTGTCAGCTTGTGGGAGGATTCCGTTATCGAGAACATCGACGAGGAATATCATCGGCTATCCCTTCACGAGAGTGGCAGGAAGGCAGAGAGTTTGCAAGTCACCAAAGGACGTCTGTCTACGGAAACTCTCGAGCTGATACGCCAACGTGGAGCCGCACGAGCTGCAGGCGGCAGCGAGGCGTTAGGAAAATTTTATACGAAACTACTACCGCCAGAGGCCGAAAGTCCATGAAACAACCCTCTTCAAAAGCCGAACTATGAAAAGGTTGAAAAGCTTGTTTAATTCTCCCCCAAAACTGCTCATAAAAAAGCCCTGCTACCCCACCGCCCACAAAAAAATTCGTTTAAGAAGTACAAAAGTGAAAAAGTCAAAGAATAATCATTATTGATGAGTCCTACCAAACGAGCAAACGAGAAACAGACCAGAAAACGACAAACTAGCCACTAAAAATGGCATACTATGACAACATCTGTTCTTTATTTATTTCCTCCACAAGACTTACCAAATTCTAGTACTACACAGATTGTGGTTCTCAATTTGCACGTAGCCCTTCAGTTGAAAGAAGCTTTTAACCGCCTTCGCCAGCTGTGTGTTGACTGGACTTTGGCGTTGACCGTGGAGCAGCTTATTTACTATTGAAATTTGAACAAATATTCAAATGATTATAACTTTCTTCAAATAACGAATTTTCAATCTGAAAGCAGATTTGGAAGTTTTGTGAAGAGCTTTTTCTAATCAGTATTGAAATTACAAAAAGTTATAAGAAATAACAAATTTAGGTCAATTAACGAGGAAAATTCGAGATGAGCACGAGTTTTTACACTTTCCGAAGCAACAACTTGCTTCATTTTCGTCAAATTCGAAAAGTTAATATGGCAGACAAAACTAGAAGATTTTCTCTACCAAACCATTGCTAAAGCAGCTCTATACGTCCAGTATTCGAAAAATGCCCACGTTGAGGATTTTTGCAAAATTAACGAGGAAAATTTGTGATGGGTGCGAGTTTTTTCACTTTCTAAAGCCATAACTCCGTTCAAACTCATCCAATCCGAAAAGTAAATACGCATCATAAACTAGAAGATTTGCTCTATCAAATGCTTACTAGAACTGCTCCAAACGTCCAGTATTAAAAAAACGGCTACGTTGAGGATTTTTGCACGAGTACCGCCGAAAGGTACTTTTTCGCTACATTGGCACTATTTCAACGGCTGTATATCCTTTTAAGGGCGATTATGTACTAAAGTAAGAGCAGATTTGGAATCACTGCTTTTCTCTTTCTAAGAAAAGTGATTGATTAGCGTTTTCTCAACTTTAAAGGTTACATGTTTATAAATTTAACCCTGAAGAGTCCGTTAACGCAATGTTGAATGGTGTACACCTCCCTGTAAATGCGCACGGACACTTTCAGAATTCTCTCGATTGTTCCTGAATTGAGGTTGTTTGTCCAAGGAGCCGTAGTTGAAGCGCGCGCAACAACTAGACCCTTTCTCGGATGCGCCGTGTACCTCACATCCCTTCCGATTCGGGGTCTTACTTGAAAGATGAAATATCTCTTGGAAAGCGTGCGAAATTCAGATTCTTTAACTTGTGTGGTGATAAAACACTGAAGTAACTAAGAATTACCGGACGCCTCAGAATCACGAAAATTTTGTGTGGGTGAAATATCATTTTCATTGGAAATCCTCTGGCCTGGCATCGACTCATCCTTGATATTTGTCTTCCGACGGTGATGATCCCACTGCATCAAAATGGCTCGATCTCTTCCACCCAGCGGGCCAATACGACCCCCCCCCCTGCGACGTGTCGAGGATTCCTCAACGCACGCTTGACCCTGCTGCAGGCAATCACCGACTCACGTCCGAGCTTGCGAAGCTATGCAGAGAGGCGATAAAGGAAGATCTCAAGGAGCGAAGAGCAGCAGTATTAGCTGAAGCAGCAGAGGCTGGGAGGAGCATCCGCAATGCCCGCCGAAGCTTTGCCAGCTACAAGACCAAGATGACCTGCCTCCGACGTCCGGATGGAACAGTTACTGCATCCCGAAGGGCAATGGAGAAAGTCATCCACGACTTCTACTCGGATCTCTTCGATAGCCATGTCCATCTGCCCACTTATCAACTGCAACAGGATGGATACGTCGTCCCCTCCCCAGTTCTCTCTTCCGAAGTCCGACACGCCATCAAGTCGGTGAAGAATCGTACAGCACCGGTCTCGACAGGGTCAAACCGGAACATCTGAAGAATGCGCCGCCCAGTTATCATCAAAACTCTGGCTCGACTCTTCACGCGCTACCTGTCGGAATGCAAGGTACCCACTCCGTGGAAAACCAGCAGGACCGTGTTGCTGTACAAGAAGGGAGACCTGGACGACATTGGCAACTATCGCCCAATCTGCCTGCTGTCTGTAATCTACAAACTATTCACTCGAGTCATCCTCAACAGGATCGGCAGAATACTGGATGAAGGACCATGCGAGCAAGCAGGGTTTCCGAAGAGGGTTCAGCACGATCGACCATATCCACACGGTTACAAGACTCATTGAAGTTTCACGAGAGTACAAGATGCCGCTTTGTCTCACGTTCATCGACTTGAAGAAGGCCTTCGACTCTGTGGAGACAGAAGCGGTCATCGAAGCCTTGGGCAACCAGGGCGTCCCTACTCAGTACATCAAGATTCTTCGTGAGCTCTACAGCAACTTTACGACCAGAATCTCACCATTCTACAAGGAGGTCATCATCGACGTCAAGAGAGGGGTTCGACAGGGCGACACCATCTCGCCCAAACTCTTCAGCGCCGCTCTCGAGAACGTCATGCGTCAACTGGAATGGGAAGA